GGGAATAATGAGGGCAACAAATGTATAGATGTGCTTCACACAATTGATCTATGTATTGTGATGAATTGTATGAGCCCCAATAAATTGATTAAAAATAACTATAGTTATAAAACTATCAGAAGAAATATTTGAATACTTTGCATAGGAAAAAAGCATACTCATAAAATTCTTAATTTCATGAAATTTTCCATATTTAAATGTTGTTGTGTGACCTCAAAGTCAATTTTGACGCATAGGATGGAATAGAATTCCATAGGAACTCCCTGCTCCCAGTAGGGTTTCTGAGGCTATAATCTTTTTTAAAAATTAATTAATTAATTATTTTAAGGCTATAATCTTTATGGGGACAGATCACCAGGTCTTTTCTCTTATTGACCTTTTGGTCTGCAGTTGACTGCTTGCCTGTTTGCCAGCAGGGCTATTTGCCCAGTATTATACTAGGTGGTATATGATGCTGGACAGTCTTTGAACCCAGCGTCTAAATCCAAGTTATCTGAGGCTTCATCCTAGGAAATGAGAGCAGAAACTAAATAGATGGTATATGTAGACGTGTACCAATTGAGCAAGAATCCATTATCCACAAGTGGAATGTGAGTAGACAACAAGCCAAACTTAGAGGTGGGACCTATGGTTTAGGAAAGGCATAGGAATACTTCAGTGTGGAGGCAGGTGATGACCTAAGTAACCTCTTCATTAAAGAAAAAAACAAAAACAGCCCAATAATTCCAAATATTTACTTAATCTAAATATGCTTTATTGCTGATATGGTCTAAAGGTGCATAAAAGTACTTTGTGTTTTCTAGGCAGATATGATTTAAGAATAATTATGGACAAGCATGCAATTCTGAGAGCAGAGTTTTATTCACATACCTTTCTTTTTTGTACTTGAAGATTTGGAAATGTCAACCTAAATTTATGCATGTATGTATATCTATGTGTATGGGGGAGAAATATGAAACTTTCTACTCCTGAAGAGTTACACTTTTAGAAACCTACAGGGGCGGTTCTACCCTGTCCTATTGGGTTGCTATGAGTCACAATCAACTTTACGGCAGTGAGTATATGGGTATACATAAAAATATATATGGAGACATTGTATTGGTGACAAATGGCATAAAATATTGAGTATATTAAGTAGACTTTGCAGCAACCTGAAGCTTCAGGTCTCGTATACTTGATTAGTCTAGTGTAGTGGTGACGTGTTGGGCTGGTAACCACATGGTCAAGGGTTGGAAACCATGGGGAGCTCCGAGGGAGAAAGATGAGGCTTTCTACTCCCATAAAGAGTGACGGTCTCAGAAACCCCCAGGGGCAGTTCTACCCTGGTTTATTGGGTCACTGTGCGTTGGAACTGACACAGTGGCAGTGAGAATAGTTGTTGATGGATGCTGACCAGTCAGTTCCAACTCATGGTACTCCAAGTGACAGATGAGCTTCCTCATAGGTGTTCCTAGGCTGAAATCTTTATGGAAACAGGTCACAAGTCTTTTTCCTGTGGCTCCTCTAGAAGGGTTCAAACTGCCAACCTTTTGATTGGCAGTGGAGTACTTAACCTGTTGTGCCACCAGAGTTCCTCGTACTATAGTGTTGAGGTATAAAAATTGTCCCGTTGAGTCAATTCTGACTCATAGCTACCCTACATAGGCTGTTTTTTAGGTTATTGACCTTTATAGGAATAGCAGTCTCAGTTTTCTCCCCTGGAGCAGTTGTTGAGTTTGAACTATTGACCTTGTAGTTAGTACTCCAACACTTACCTGGCTGCACCACCTGAACTACTGAATGATTAGAGTAGGTGCATTAAAAGACATTAAATCTTAGTACTAAAAATCTCCTCCCCCTTCCTCCATCCCACTCAGAACAAAAAAAATGTGTAGGATATGTTGCAAATGATTGATTCTTTTTTCTTTCTTTCTTTCAAAACCATTGTATTGGAAGCGAATACAGATATTCCATTCCACAGCTCAGTCTTGGTATGCTTTTCATGTGGTTGCTGTGGTGTCCACCCTCCTGCTTCGACCTCCACTTTTCTGGCTCGCTCTTTCGAGCGTTGATTTGGTCTCTCTTGAACAGCTGGTGTCCCCAGCATTCTGTCCTTGCCCCTTTTAAAATTCTCTACTCACGCTGGTGATTCTATTTACTCCCATCATTTCAAGTATATGCTGTTTTCCAAATTTATATTATTAGCCCAGCTGCAAAACCATCTGTTCAATTGTTTTCTGACTCTCTCCAGAATTTCGCACAGACCCTTTACAGATGTATGAATCCAAAATGCAATTCTCTTTTTAAAAAAGCCTGTTACTTCTGTATTTTCTCAAATCACAGACACCTAATCCTGGCCTTAGAAAATGGGGCGCTACCCTTGAGTTTGACCTCTCTTGTAATCCTTCATCGAAATGGGAACTTCATCTTAATCAGTTTATCGGTTGGCACTGTTGAGTAATCCTTGGACTACTTATCACAAAGTCAGTAGTCCAAACTTACTAACCACTCCACAGGGGTAAGATGAGACTGGCTGCTCCCCTAAAGATTTACAGCCTCCAACACCCCCTACAGAGCCGCTGTGAGGCAGAATCAACTTCATGTCAATGTACTGGTTTCAGTTTGCTTATTTCCTTCACCTCTCTACTAGTGCTCTTCCCCCCCCA